TTTAGCACACACCCTGATCGACGTCAAAGTTAAAGTGGTCAATGAAAATGGTGCCGACCTGGGCGAGGGTGTTCCCGTCGCTCCCGTCAATCTGCTGCTTCACTCCCTGTTCTCCGAAGTGGATGTCACGTTCAACGACAAACTCGTTTCGTCTTCCTCCAACACGTACCCGTACCGAGCCCTGCTGGAAACCCTGCTCACTTACGGACCACCGGCCAAGGCATCGCAGCTGACAGCCGCCCTGTTTTACAAGGATACGGCGGGAAAAATGGACTCGGACGATCCAACCGCGGATGAAAATTTCAACGAGGGATTAAAGCGGAGATACAAACTGTCGAAGGAGAGCCGTATTATCGATATGTTGGGACCGATTCACAGAGACATATTTTTTAAAGATAGGTTTTTACTAAACGGCGTCAACCTGAAGCTCAAGTTTCATCGCAGCAAAAACAGTTTCTGTTTAATGGCGGCTTTACCGGACACTCACTACAAAGTAAAGATAATGGAAGCTTCTCTGTACGTGAGAAAGGTGGTCGTCAGTCCCACCGTGGCTCTAGCGCACGCCAAAACCCTACAGAGTGCTACGGCCAAATACCCGCTGCGCAGAGTGGAGGTCGAAACGTTTTCTATTCCGCTAGGAAATCAATCTTTTACCACGAAAATCTGTTTCTGGGGCAGATCCCCCGGCGCTTGGTGATTAGCATGGTGGATAACGCGGCCTTCAACGGCGACTATCATAAAAACCCCTACAACTTAAAACATTACGGTCTAAATTACCTGGGGCTGTACGTGAATAACGAACAGACGCCGTGGCGACCTCTTCAACCCAAGTTTTCCGGTAAAGCCTACATGATGTCCTATCAGACTTTGTATTCTGGTATAGGCTAAATACTGTTGCAAAAAGTTAACTTTATCGGAAGAGCGCTACCGCGCGATGACAAAGAAAAAAGCTGCGAGACGATTGTCAGGCCGCGTGAGCGGAACGCGGAAAATCAGTACCAAATGATGGCCGGATAAAGGAGGGTAGGGAGTCTGTTTCACCACCTTTTAATTAATCTTTTAGTTAAATGAGTAATTCATATAATAAGATAACTGATCCTTATAAAGAGTGATTATTTAGACACTAAATTCCATTGCGAAATTTCATAATCCCTTACTGTCGGAAATACATGCCGCTCCTCGATCATTATTGTACACAAACATTGTTGCGCCTTCTGTATTATCTTACCCAAATGCATGTACTTGTTTTGTGTCATTATTTCTATTAGAACGGGCTATCCAGGACTAACCAGGGCCAACCAGGGCTTCCCATGTACGAATGTCTATGCAGAGATAAGAATAAACACAACCAAGACAGAGTACATGTACCGTGCCCATGCCCAGTTTCTCCAACGGACATTTTTGGAATCCTACCACCTCGTTCCGCAGCAAATACCCTGTTTCGAGACAAGGGCAATCAGATCAACAGGGAAGACTACGATCGGGATACTCCCTCTTTGCCTTTGATCTGTCTCCGGACTTGTCGAGCGGGTCTCATTTCAACCTGGTCAAGCGTAGTAACATGCGTCTGGAGTTGAAATTTGCCGAGGCCCTGACAACGACCGTCAACGTGGTGGTGTACAGTGAATTCGAGAGCATCCTGGAAGTGGACGAGAGCCGCAATATTCTGATCGATTACGCCAACTAAACAATGGACAGCGTACAACTTTTAAGAGTCCTCAAGGGGGACAGCGTGACCCGCCGTGACGTCATTGGTGTATTCCCGTCGGATAGGTTACCGCCCGTGACCAAATACCCCAGCGCCCTCATCGTGAACGCCGACGAGAGCGATCGACCGGGCACCCACTGGCTGGCGATGTACTTTACTCAGGACGGCCGAGCAGAATTTTTTTACTCTTACGGGCTTCCAGTAGACACCTACGGGCAACATGTTCAATCTTTTTTACGGAAGAACAGTTTGCAGTTTACATGCAACACAGTTCGCTTGCAATCTTTCACCACGACGGTTTGCGGTCAGCACTGCCTATTTTACCTGTTGCACCGTTGTAGGGACATCTCCATGAGAGCTATTGTGTCCGTGTTTACGGATGACTGCCTCGTCAATGACGTGTGGTGCAGGATTTTATCGAAGAGAGATACAATGTCG